ATATTTGCAGAATCGTTGTTTTCTCTTCGTCTTAATATTTCTCTCTCATTATCTTATCCTTTTTCTCTCTATGCAATATTTACATTTTTTTTATCCTTCTTCTTAGCCTTTTTTTTCTACTGTCGTAAAAGCAATGAAACAGCGGTAATGTATTAATATATCTATCAATTAATAACACTCCATTGGATACAAAAATTTTGTTCAGCGAAATTAATTTTATCAACTTGTTTTTTTCAAAAAAAAAATACTATCATTTCACCTTAATTTTTCACTGGAGATGCCACTAATATAATTGGAAAATAAAATTTTTATAAAAGTTATTATTATACATGTTTAATAAAAATTATTACCCGTAATTGTATAAAATATAAATTTTTATTTTTTTATTCACAATTTCAAATTTAGTCTATTTTCTTCTAAAAATATCACTTTTTTATCACTTTTTTTATTTTTTGGAGAGTATCACCCTGTTTTTTTCATTAAGCTAATTTTCCGTACTTTATAATTACCTAATATTGTAAACTTCTCTCTCTTTTCGTTTTTACCATTTAAATCACGCTTCAATTAATTATTACCTTTTCTTGATAATAATCACACAGATGAGAAATAAATTCCCAATAAAAGAAGAGCTCCGAATGGAAACAAGTGGACGGGTTAGTTTCGGAGCGGATTTAACCCGGGATTATCGGGTCAGCGTGCCGCCACATCATCGGCCGTACATTCCCGATCCGACGGCGCAGTTTCACTACACGGTTGGGCCAATACAGGCCCGAGCCCACGCGTCCAATGATGGGCCCAGGTACGCAAATCACGTGAGCCCACTTGAGATCGATCTGAATTTCCCACCTGCAGAGGATTTTGGGCTAGACTTATCAGATCCGTTGGATGCGGGGCGGGCCGTAACTGACAAACGGGCCAGATTTGCTGAGGCAAGGAGGAAAAGAAGAGGGTTAATGAGATCCAAGTCCATGAGAAATCGGCCCCCCACTTGCAATTATGAGCATGGTGTTTTGGGAAAAAAGAAAAATGAAAAAAAAAATAAAAAATGAAAGGGGTATTCTGATTTCATTTGGTCCAGTTATGTAGGATATTTCTTTTTTTGGAGGGGAGGGAAATTAATTAGAGATTTTCTATATATTTGTTGGACTTACTGAACTCTTGATATGTAGTAGTTGTGAATAGTTAAAAAGTAAGTGGGATTTTGCTCGGATATTCGGTTCTATATTGTGCACATCAAATCTTGGTACATTTTTTTTTTTTTTTTTTTTTGCNAATATCTGTGTGCAGAGGATTTTATAAGAATCATATAAATTGAGGACACCTTATATATTGTATCTTTTTCTGCATTTTGATTCTTGAAGATTTCTTTCTGTAAGTTTTATATGACAAAAACATCCATACAAAAGAGTACGTATAACTTTCCAAATCAAGTAGAAACTTTTTGTTTTGGTCATTGGGTGGGATTGGTTAACAAAAAGGTCTCGTTGAAAAATGAGATAAAAATTAGAAGAAATTATTTTCATAAAAGGAAAAATAAATTTAAAATAACAAATGAATACGAATTAATAATAAAAAACAATATATATTAATTGATTAGATTGATAATTATAAATAAGTGAGTGGATAATACTATTTTTTTGATAGAAAATATACAAATAATTATTACTCTCTTATCTTAAAAGTGTGTTAAAAATAGTATGGATGGCAATCTCAGTGCATGTTTTGGTCTGACATAGAGAGGTCAAATAAAGCTATGGTAGAGGTGTAAACGAGCCGAATCGAACTCAAACCTTTACTGGACTGAGCCGTTAACTAAATGAGTTCAAGTTTATCTCATTTACCAACATTAATAAACCAAACTAGAACCTTAACGAGCTAAATTTAATAAAATTTCATAAACATCTAAATTGTTATCCTTAACGAATCAAGTCGAGCTCAGCTCGTCATCTGAATGAGCTTCAATCAAGCTCAATCTCGGTTAGCTAACTAGACAACGGCTCAAACTCGGCTCAGGAGCAACACATATCAATTATTAGCTCCAAGAGCCATATCTTAGCCCAATATTCCAGATGCACACATTGGTAGACCACATTACCCCCATCAAATGCCGAATAAACAATCAAATCAAACACTAAACCAAAACAAAATTAAACGAATTCATATTCCAACACCAGTAAAAACATCAAAAACCCCAATAGCAGCACAATCAAACAAAACCCACCCCAAACAAATACACAAAAACACACAAATCATCAACATATACACAACCACTCTAAATACAAGCAAAAATAACAAAAAATACACAGAAAAT